AATTAATTAATTAATTAACAGAGTGATTATTATAAATTTTATGAATTTTCTATAACTGTTGTAAAAATCACGTTTGTTTGCTTACAGCATCTAAGCATATTCTTTTCAGCTCCCTAAAGGTTCCCTTAGAGCCCACCAGACAAAGTTCAGGGGCGTGTAGAGCTTCTGGGCTCTGGTCCTGAAGCTCAGGGGAATTCCATTTTCCTGCTTCTATGTTCTAAAAGCTCTTTGTCTATTTTCATTTGCGACCCCTTCTTCCTTTTTCAAAATTATCTATGGAGAGTTGAATTCTTCTCAAATCACATTTTCTGTACCTTTCTCAGTTAGTAGATCTCCCCCGACTCGAAACTTCTCTCTCCTTCCTCTACACATACGGAGCCTGTGACTACACTGAGAACAGAGGCCAAATCTAGGCTCTTTTCCCTGTTTAAGTTGATTCACAGCCATAATTTTTCTTTAGTAGGTAACTTAATATAGTGACACTTTCCCAGGATTAGAACAAGTACATTTTAAGATACTATTATTCTGCCTTCCAAATTGAGTTTCACTAAGCAATACTACCGATTAGACCGTTTATGTATCACATTATACTTTCTTTCTTTTGAAATTTAGAATAATACCACAGTCATCCCCTTCAAGATTTAAGAACTTTGAAGTGAGTGATGCCAATAAGCCATTGACTGTCGGACCTGAAGCTCTGGTGGAACTATGGACTATGAACTGGCTCCGGACTACTCCACAACTGTAGATTTAATGCCTTGGCTCAGCCACTCCCATCTTAGTACCGGCTCCGCATTGTCTCCCCTCTGCCTGGAACAGCAGAAGTGCCAGCCAAACAACGGACTTGATCTTGGACAAGGAAAAGTCTGAGATAGGGGATCCAACACGGCTGACTAGAGGAGGAGTTACATAGATGCTGAGGAAAAATCCACCGAGAAGGAATGATCTGGAAGGTCCAACATGGTGGAGTAGAAGAGGAGCCATATCGGGAGACCCAGAGAAAATCAACAAGAGACACAGAGGGGAGGAGAATATATCATAAAAGGTCAATTAACCAAACACAATGTGGTGACCATATCTGAATTCTTCTTTGAAAATTTGAACCAAAAACAAAAAAAAAAAAATTGGAGACAACAGTAGAACATTCCACAAGGAAGAGAGAATTTGCGTAAGGACTGAAAGAAATAATAGTTGGAACCTGCAAGGAAAGTGTGAGATATTGCTCCCAAGTGGCCTTCCACAGCCCAGTGCAGCCACAACAACTGTGGAACAAGAGATGGTGGGACGAGAGTGAGGGAAAGGGCTCAGCATTCACTCCCGGGTCCCAAAGCAGATCCTTGGTCAAGTTTCCAGAGGGATGAGGGAAGGACAGCCAAGACAGCTGTCAGTTGGAGGGCAGGATGGACGGAGTCTTGCTGAGGGGCTGGAGCTGGTCACCATGGACCCCGCTGAGGCAGTTGAAGGCCTGGTTCAGCTGAGCTACAGAGGAGCTCATTGGAAGGTCACGCTGACACCCTGACCTAACTGTATGTGAAGGTCTGCTCAGCACCATTCTGGGGGCAGAATCCACCTTAGACTTCCAGCGTGAGCAGCGACACATCTCATCTTGATCTCTGCTCCTTATTTCTAGGCTGTGGAAAAGAACCATGGATCTATAACAATAGAAAACTTTCTTCTCGTGTCATTTTGTTTGTTTATTTTGTGGTTTCCTCTTTCTGTTCCTCTCCCCCACACAATTTTATTCCATTATTTGTCCCACTTCTTATATGTGTGTTTGTGTTTCTCTTCCTCTTGCCCTTTTCTTGAAATATAGTTTTTAGAAGGTAAAGGAATTCTCCCATGTTCCTTTCTATTCCTTCTACTTTTAAGTACATCTTCTTACCTTACTTTTCTCCTGTTTCTTCTTCTATTTTACTTTTCTTTGTTCTCTTCCTCTTCATCTGTCTCCTCTTAAATTGTTCTCTAATATTTATATTAGCCATAGACTATTTTCTCATTCCCATTTCTCACTACTGATTTTATGCGAAATTTTCCTTGTAATCCCATCTAAATACATAACATACCTCTGCTGCCATTAGGATCCTTTCTCCCCTTCCTATTTCCTCCTTCCCATACCACACAGCAGAAGACTTAACACACACACACACACACACACGCACACACACACACTAACACACTTTATCTCCTCTCCCCCTTAACACAGTCCACCATCCCCTCAGCATTACATAATTGATTCTGTAAAATTACTGTTAAGTACCTTCTTTTTAACCATAAGAAGACACATAGCTACCATATTTAGTGCAAATTAGATGTGGCTCAATACTTGGGCTTTACAATGCTTCCACCATAACTACAGATTTTTTCTCGAGGCTAAAGGGAGATCCGAAAGTGGGTTTCATGGTATATTCTCAGCTAGCCCAGTTAGCAAGATAACTGATTAGCTTGCTATTACTTTATCTTATTTGATTGCATAGGAATCAGGGGATGATTTCAGGCCCGTGAATCAGTCTGCCAATTATATCATCACACCCAGGGAGAGACAGCAAGAATTCCTAACTCAGGAACTTGGACTGGATGGAACTGTGCAAGAATCAGGTGGAAAGAAGTCCCAACTGTGAGTTAGTTTCAATGTTGCAGTTGTAAACTCAGAGAGGTGATTGGAGTGTGAGCACTTAGAATCTCTGGCAAAGAAGCTAGAGGTGAGTTACATAGACACTGTCCCATTGGAGTATTTAGTCTACAACCACATCAGATATCTTTACTTGAAGTTTTGTTTTTTGATTTATTTAGTGGTGTGGGGTTATATTATTTCATGTTTTGGTGTGTGTTTATCAGGTTTTTAATTTTAGGTATTTGCTCTTCCATTAACTCTAACTTAAGAGGTGACTAGGTTCTCTCCCTAGTAGCTCCCTGTCTCTCTTCTTCACCTCAAACCACCAAGCCAATACTATGGCCATGTTTTTCTTCTTTTACCAAATACATAAACACCTCCTCCAAAGTTTTAAACTTCCCATACTTAACTCCCCCACAGTTGCTCCTTTCTTCCCTTGTTAACCCTCAAACTTTCCCATCCTAAACCTTGACTTTCCCATATCTTACCCTCAAACTTCCCCATCCTACACCTCTGATTTTCCCATATCTTACTCTCAAACTTCCCCATCCTAAACCTTGACTTTCCCACATCTTACCTAGTCTATTGTCCTGCCTATCAACAGGTTCTGATGACTACATAGCTTCCCTCAATCACGAAGGAAACCTCCTTTCTCCCATGTCCTGCACTTGCCCCCACAAAAAAACCTCTGAAAACCCTCAACTCACTACTCACCCTTCAACTCAACTAAAAGTACTTTTGAACTGTACTGGAATTGTTGAGACTAGGGGAAAGCGTTAGTGTATTTTCCGTTGTACATAGGACAGTTATGTCATGTTATGCAAATTATGACCGTGTGTTTATCTGCCAGCAGACCTTGGCATCATCTACATGATGAAAGTTTTACTAGCATGCAGAAGACAAGAACTGTGGAGTCATGGAGGCTGACACCAAATATTTCAAAGGAGGCCAGGAAAGGAACTCCTAAAAGGGCAATGCATGAAGCTGTGAGAATAAAGCCAAAAGTTCAGTGGTGAGCACAGGCAATTAGAAATGCCAAGAAATGGGAAACATCTGCTGAGGACTGCTGCAGGCCACAAGCAAATCCAGCCTGACAAAGGACATGTGGACCATAACCAGCAAGGCCATAGGCATGGGGCCGCCCAAAACCGTAGGAATTGACATCTCATCACCATATGCCCTGGGTGCCAGACATGGAGCTATAGGATTTAATGTCAGCCATGCTAGGTTTCAATTTTGATTTGGTCTCATTCTTTGCAGCTACCTCACTCCTCCCTTTTAGTATGGGGATTTTTACCCTGTGCCATTGTATATTGGGTATATATAACTTGGTTTTTTTGAACTTTCAGTGATTTACACCTAAGAGTTTGCCTTAGGTCTCAGAAGAGTTTTTGAACTTGGGCTTTTGAACAATACTGGAATGGCTGAGACTTTATAGGAAAGCATTAGTGAATTTTTTATTGTACATGGAACAGTTATATCATGTTAGGTAAATTATGACTTTGTGTTTATTTGGAGATTGAGTGTAGTTTAAGGCGATGAGCTTAGGTCTCAAGCAGTGAAATGTGATAGTTAAGCTAGATTGTCAACTTGATTGGTTTCAGAGATGCCTGGGGGTTAGGAAAGTATACTTCTGGGTATGTTTGGGCAGGTCACAGAGACCTACACCTGGTCCCTGGTCCCTTCTCCTTTGGCTTTGTTTTCCTCCTCTGGTTCCCAGATTCCATGCATTGAGCATTTTCACTCCACCATACCCTTCTGCCATTATGTTACTTCCTTAGAGACAGCCAACTATAAACTGAACCTTCTAGAATCTGAATCAAATTAAATCTTTCCTTCCTAAACTGTTGCTGTTGGGTATTTTGCACCAGGAATGGCAAAGGTAACTAACATTATGTTTTATGGATTTCAGATCATCAGTTCAAACATGGATAATCGGCTTTTTTATGCACACAGAGTCTTCACAAAATAGGCAAAGTAAAGGAACTTTCTTTTGACTCACTCTGCAAACAAGTTCAAGCAGACATAACTCAACTATAAATCAAAGATCCTGCAAAATTCTCAATCACAATGTTAGCTTAATATTTTGCCTGAAGTTATGAATAGTAGAACTTTATTAGATGTATGTGTATATTGGGAAAATAACAAAAAAAGTCATGATAAACTTAAAATATCATTTAAAGATTATCTCAACGTATCTTATACCCTAAGCCATCTCATTAACAACTGATGTACCAACAATTAAAAATATAGTTAGAAAATAAATGTCTTTGATATTCTAAATCTAATTCTTAAAATTATCACTCTGAAATAATTTTCTGTATTTAAACAGCTGATGTGTTCAAGGTCGTCAGAGATCTTAAAAGTGTGGGTTTTTACATATACTCACCAACAGTATCACAGGGTTCATCTTTGTGCACACAGAAATCTTTCCTACAAAAAGGAGAAAATCAAACTGAGAGTAAACTCAGGTAATCAGTATTTATCCTGTGACTCATGGTGTTATATGATTATTTATATACCAATTTTTATTTGCAAAAATTTGATAAAACTCTGGATAAGATTAACTAGTCTTTATTTTTAATAAAGTATGAAATTAAACTTCTATAGTACATGTATATTTATATAATCATATGACACTAATTTCACATTTCATAGGTAATATTTCAAAAATAAATATTCATCTTGTTTCATACTCTTATGAGATTTCATTGCTTTATTACAAAAAAAACTAAAGACATGCTGTTGGGATACGGCTTTCCATTTTTAAAACTTATCGGAAGATCTCTACTTTCAATAACACAAAAAATAATTTCCAGATGTTGTAAATGTAAGGAATACAATTTAGAATGGCATACTGTTTTATATTATAAGTTATAAACAATTTTAAAGACAAGTACCAATTTTAAGAAAGATTATATATATTAATATTTTTACATAAATGAGATAATATTCTATAATTTCTCTCTTTATTTTCCCACTATATCTTGGAGAGCATTCCTTGAGAATATTTCACTGTTGGTACAAATTACTTAGAATTTTGTAACTCACGATGTAATAGAACTTAGTCACTAAGAGTTTTCAGATTTGGAGGCATAATATATGAAATCAGAATTTTATCTACCACTTACTCTTCATGTGACCTTTGGACTGCTTATTTAACCTTCTTGTGCCTCAGCCCTCTCATCTAAAATACGGAAACTGATTTTAAGCATCGTGCCATATTTCGTTTTCTGAAATTTTATGCTTTTTCAATTTCAAAGAAAATGCTTTCTCCAAGAACATCTTACACTCATATTTTGAAAGTTTGTTTTTAACCATGTAACCATACTTATTTTTATAATCCTTGTCAGTACTATTTTAAAATATTATTCATTATTGCAGTTTTTGGTTCTCAAAGATGTTCTCTTATGCATTTTGTAGGGCTACTATGAACTTACTCAGTTGTGCTTTATTTATGGTTGAGTTGTGTGGTATACATTAAGATGGCATCCCACTAGAATAGTTCTTAAATGTTTTCACTAAGTGTTTCAGTTTTTTACTCAGATTCATGAAAATGAAGACCAGAGAGCCATTTTTACTAACCTGAGATAACGGATGAAATAGAGTAATTCCTTCTTGAAAAACTGTCCTTGCTGATAGAGTCTTTTCTACATTACTCTTGTATCAGTGGTCTCACCGTCTAAGATTTATAGCTGTACTTATTTATTTTAGTTCTACTTTTGAAAGTATCGAGATATTTCCTACAAAATATTTCCTATATGAAAGCTAAAATTCAAGCAGCTATGTTCTTTATTCCAACAAACTGACTAGGCAAGTTACCATCGCTCTTCAAAATTTGCTACACCTTTTTTCTTTTTCTCAGTGCACATAAAAGGAGGGTCCATATGTTTTTCTACAATTTATAGATAACTATGATGTGAACATTTCTCATTATGTAATGAGGGAAATTCTCACAGAAAAGGAAATAAACTCAACCTGTTAAGTATCAGGTAGAAGTGAAATAGAGTAAAATGATAGATTTGTTCATTGTTAATGTTATCTTAATATAGACAGAAAAACAGACATATAGGCTTTATTTTACTATTATATATCATGCAACAACTTTTACCAAATTCTTCAAAAATCTGCATGATCACCCAATAAGAAACTCACACTGACCTCAATTAACAGTTAACAGTTTTAAAAAATATCTTTCCAAACTGGCAATTGTGTAAATTGTAACTCATTATAAAAGTTAGTGATGTAATACTGTTATTTCTTAAAAATTTAGAAGGGAAAAGAGTTTATGGCAGCCATGGATATGAATAAGATTGGAAATTAGGTATTTAACATTAATAATTATCAAAATTGTTCACCATTTCTCTAGGCAAATTCCAGACAGGTGATTCTACAAAACAGATACAGAATCACCTCTTGATTATGAGTCATAGCTATGATTTAATGCATTCAAATCACACTCAGTATTTATACATACATTTATCACCACTCACTTATTAATAATAGATTAATTCCAGTTGATAACTTATATGACTAGAAAATATACTGAGGGTGTCCTGGCTGAGAACAAACATCCAGTATTTCTTTACGATCAAGCACGGTAGAGACTCGGGCCTTCTTTCATGTGATCACCTTGCTTGGATTTGTTGTAATGGTCAGGTCTTCTTCTACTTCTTGTGGCCTGGATAATACATTTCAAAGATGCCTTTTTTTTAACAGAGGGCCAAATATCAACTCCACAGTCCTGCCCCTCTGACTTGCAAGGTAATGGGCCTCCCCCAAAAGCAGGAGACACAATGTAGTGGTACAATGTTCTGCCTACTAATTACTGTATCTTTTTGCAAATAACAGGAACAGGGTAACATGTTTTTACTAGTTCATACAAATTTAAGGTTTTCCTCAAACATATTGTTTCTTATTCTGATTAATCTATAAACAAGATAATCAATCTTGGACAACTGAAATTGGCTATTCTTTTTGCTTTTTGGGTTTTTTTTTTGAGACAGGATCTCACTTTTTGATGCTGACTGGCCTTGCACTCATTATGTAGCCCAGGCTGTCCTCAAAATCATAATGATCCCCTCACCTCAGCCTCCAGAGTGCAGGGATTATAAGTGTGTGCCACCACACGCAGCTTGGCTGCTAGCTTTTATTATGTTAATTTTCATTTCTTTTTTATTATATAGTATATACAATCCTATTAGAACTGCGTACATTTTATAAATCTGCTATTTCAACTGAATGAATGTCAAAGTAGATTGAATGATTGATTGGTATTGGGAATCAAACTTGGAACCTTACACTTGCGAGACAGGTAGCGGCATCTAGCTAAATCCCCAGCCCTAAATTTATTTTTATTAATTACTAAAAAGTAAATAGCAAAGAAAAAGTTGTTGATGAACTAATAATCATTATACACCTGCTTTGAGACATTTTAAAGATCTAGGACTTTTATTGTTTAAAAAGACATTCTAAAATTAGAAAACTTCTGATAAATCATAGACATACAATGTTACCTTGGTTCACAAATTTAATTCTCTCCACAATTCTGGTCTCAAACCCTATTGAATGATAACCGAATCAAATTTTCTCTTAGGTCAACATTGAACCTAACCAGTGAATTTAATTTTGTTTTTATCCAACTAAAGTTGTGACCAGAATTGTAGAAAAAATCAAGTTTTTGAATTGAGCTACCACTGTATTGAAATTTTAACCTATAAACAAACACTTACTTACCCCACCATAACCCTCTTCCAAGGTAAACTAGTAATCAGATTCTCTTTCAATATTCAACACACAAAACTGAAAACTTGTAAGTGTAGGCCACACAAGAATGCTCTTAATCAGAACGTTTATTAACAGGATTATAATTGACATTTTTTAAACAGCTGAGTGATTCCATGACAGCCCGACTGAAGTAAGCCCTTATCATGCCCACTTACAACTCCCAGCATTTTTTCCTGGAAAATCACACTCTGTTCCCTCGTTATTCTTCATCAGAATGCTCTCGTCATTGGCTTTCAGTTATAGAATTTTTACCCAGACTGAAATCCACTTTTTCAAAGGAGGTAAAATGGTTATCTAGAAGGAGAATGTGAATGGCCCTCAATCATTTAATTTTAGTGGATAAGGTCCTAGGGATTCCTAAAGTTTTTCCTCTTCACTGTCTTTCATCGTGCATGTTTGTCCAACTTTTCTGAAAACTAAATAAAGTCTTGCCAGCCTATCAAAATGAGCCAAAAATCTACTTTCTCTGGAGCTCAGCTTAGGTAAAGCTGACTTCTGCGGTTCAAAACTAACTCCAAATTGTACAGGAAAATGTATTTCCCTGCTGACTTAAGGTATGAAGAGTCTGACTATAACTATAGATAAAGAAAACTGAAAAGGTTTTCTGGAATACTTCTGATAAGTAGATAACAAACTACATTTAGCTTTTGTCTGCTTAGGTGCTGTAGAAATCCAATTTTTCACTGTGACACCAGGACTGGTCGCCCAGGTTGGGCATTGTGCAGTCTAGGGGAGAATGACATGCACAAAAATATGAACTGTTTCCTCTACTTCTGTAGAATGCATCACTTGTGCAACCGAATGTGGTAACATCTACTAAGTGTTTCTTCTACGCCAACCACTGAACAGAGAGAAGGTCACAAGGCAGGCTTTAAAGTCTCAGAAAATAACAAACACACAGTCACACTGGTAATGCAATGCGGTCCCTGGGATCGTGACAAAGATTAAAGACTTGTATTAAATAATGGCAATTTTCTTTGCCAACAAACAAATGGAGAAATACCCAAAGCACATGATATTGAATAACATGGCAATGCAGCAAATCAAAGAACCACATAAAATAAAATTTTCACCTTAGGGCCAAGAATTGCTGAGTGTAAAGTATATTCAGATGTAAGGGGAAGAAGCTTTTATGTGTTTTTCTAAATATATAATACATCATATCATGATGCATGCGCCTGCAGCAGGATTATTTGATTTTTATAATGTGAACCAAGGGATTTCATCTGTAACTAAACAACATGATAAAACTCTAACAAATGTACTGCTTACTGTCAAGGGCACTTAGATTCTTCATGCGGCCAATTTTTGTTCACTTAGCAAACAAATGAACAAAGCACATTATTTAAAAAAAATAAAAAGTGCACAAATTCTTTTATCCAAAAGCACTGGGAGTACGTCTTGCTAAAATTAAAAAATAAGTCGCCAGGATCTTTAATAAAACTTAGATGAGTCTATCATTCTTAATCTTCAATTCTTTCTTTGTCCATTTCTTTCTAGACAAGTAAATAATGTATTCATAATTTCAAAATATTCAAAGATTTTTGCGTGGGGGGAGTAGGAGACAGAGATTTTCTTGGTCCCCAGACCTGTGTTTGTATGGATTTAGATTCTCATTTAGGCTCATAATGATTCCATGCACACAAAGTCTGCCTCATAGGGTTTCATTATGTGAGTATGGAAATGATCCTGTTAGATTCTGGCAATGGAAAAGACCAATAAATTCTAAATTCTGATTTATATTGAAATAAAAGAAATGTAACTTTAATTTCCAAGAATGAAGATGCATCTGAGAATAAGACTCACTGTAGAGTTTAATAGTGCCCTGGGATATACCTATAAATGATTCATTCAAATATTATCTTGTGATTTGTATTAAATCAATATATTTCTGCAACTTCTATGTTTTATTAAATCTTCTGTCATACTTGCCAATCATATTAACTTGAAGCTAGCTTTCAGAAGACTGTACATAAATGAAAAACATTTTTGTAAACATGCAAAGTGAAAGCCATCATTAATAAAATTCAGTTTTAAATTCAGTATTTTCAAAAGACTTAGACTTCTGCCTCTCTATGACTTAAGAGTGAAATGCGAAAATTACTCCAAGTAATCATAGAGTGGATGGTTGGAAGAACGTGTTGTGTGGTTGTGTTACCATGAGCCCACAGCCACTAGGTCAGCTTAAACTATTTACTTTATCACACAGAAAAATTGGACAAATATATTACCCCAGGTAGGTTTGGATTTATTAGAACACTAAGCATTTTAGCTGAGACTACAATTAATCCCTGAGCCTGAATTTCTCGCTAGTAGTGTGTCCACATAGCAGACAACATTTAATAACTATCTAAGAAGTACATTTACTGCAAACTGAACCTGGTATGGCTTTAGCCTGACAAATATGGGTAAGAACATGTAATCAATAGATATAATATTTTCCTCATTTAATTTTACACAAGTTCACTACAAAGCTGAAGATCAGGCCACTATTATATTTACACTAACAAAGGATACTTTCTCCACAACTACACAAAACATTTAGACTTTCCTCAGCAAATGACACTGGGTCGCTTAGGAATAAAACATTCCACGCAGTGGACTGATTTGCATTGCTGTGTCCTTAGAAGCAGAGACATGGAGAAAAGGCGACGCTTCTCATAAGTCTCTTCCCATAGATGAATAAAGGTGAATTTGTCAGTGTCTACAGGATATATATGTCCTGATATGACAAGTATTTCTTAAACCCTCCGGAAATATTAGCACATACTTACAGCCACAGATAAAGATATCTGAAGGACCTTTTACTATAAGAATAATGAAGTAAAAAGTTCCATAAATAAAAAAATAATAAAAAGGTCATTAAATGAACTAGGATATTTCTATGTAACAGAGAATCTCTGCATCTCCCTCTAACTGTCGAGCCATATAGTTGCTATCACTTTCCTACAGCTGTTAATGACAAATTACCACACACTTAATGAGATAAAAACAAAGTTGTCTTACAGTTTTAGATGAAAGCTAAATATAGATTTTACTGGGCTAACACCACCAAGGCCACTGTCCTCCCTGATGCACTGGTGTGCAGCCCACTTTCTCTTTCGGTTTCTATTGATTCTCTGCATTTTTGGCCATGGCCTCTTCCTTTGACTTCAGAGCCAGGCTCGTGTGATCTTCCAATCTGTGTCACGGCCTCAGCAGTCCTGCCTCCTTCCTTCATATTTCAGGATTCAAGTAATTGCTCCTGCTCCACTCTGGCAATTCAAAATAATCTCCCAACTCAAGATGCTTAATTTAATTAAGTCTGCACTGTCAACTTCTGCCAAGTAAGGTGGTACTTTCATGGGGTTCTGAGGATTAGGGCATGGATGCATTCAAGGGTATGTGATTCTGTTTTCTACAGTGAATGACATGAGACGACTTTGAAGATATCTTTACAAGAGAAAAAAAACATATATATATATATCACTATATGAACAGAATCAATCCCCTACTCTTCCAAGGCAAAGGAAACTTAAAGTAAGAGTTGGATAATAGCTAATTAATTATAAATGCAAAGAGTTTAATTTTACCATGAGAATATTTTTATAAAATGAGAATATTTAAAGATAATTGTACACTTTGAACAGCAGAATATGCTTGGGCGAAGAGAATTAGCTTATAATATTTCCTAGAGAATACTGAACTAAAGGACAAATGAATATTTGGAATAGGTTTTGGGGAGGAAATGTGAATTGTAAAACAGCATAGAAGATGAGACCTTTAGTTCTAAGAATGATGCTCTGTTTCCTAAGTGAATAGCAGTTCCTAATTATATCATACTTTGCAATTTTTAAAATATTCAATATATCAAAATACTCTTTTTTTTTGTATCAGGGATTGAACTCAGGACCTTGCATTTGGGAGGCTGGTGGCAGAACCACTGAGCTAAATCCCCGGCCCTATTTTCTTAACTTTAAAAAAAAAAAATACTTGTATTGGATGGCTAGGAACGGGTAGCAACAAAGGAGGTAATAATGAAAAACAACGAGTTAAGAATTCTGATTTTAAGATTTTATCACATAAAATATTTAATGACTTCAGGGGATTCTTGATTTTTTGGGGAATTTTGAATAGAAAAACCGCAGAATGAAATCAATAATAGCAGTAATATGTTCTTCAACAAAATACTTTTTAAATAAACTAATAAAAATTTTTATAAAAATGTAAAGAATCAAATCTTTTCTGAAAGATAATAAGATCTAATTTCATTTCAAATAATTTAACAAGTAATTGAAATTTAATCCCTTTATCTCATATTGCAAATTTTTATTGTTTTCACAGTTTTGATTTAAATTATCTTGTTGATAGCGTTGTTAAAATATGTCTTGAAAACATGCATCTTTTCTATAGTATGCTTTCCTTTAAGAAGTTGCCGGAGTGACAAGGTCGATTTGGAAAGATTGTGTGATTAGATGTACAGGTCATTCCTAATCACATCAATTTGGGGCTCCCTTAAAAGCCAACTTATATCAATATTCTCATAGGACTGCTCCACTCCTGGGGCTTCAATCTGCTCAATTCACCGAATGCTTTACAAGTCTGAAGTCTACAGCAGCAACAGTCTCCGTGTGTATTCAAACTCTCTTGATGATCTGCACACATCTTCTCACGCTCTAGGCTCCTACCACTGGTGTCCTCAGTAGGAGCACTGGGCGACTACTTCCTGCTTGCCACACCAACAAAGAAGTTGTCCCCATACTAAAAGCTGTAGTAACTGTTGGACTAAACTATAAATTTCCCTTTATTCAGGGACTAAAGTCTTGTACTTTTTTTTCCAATGAATGAAAAGTGGCATCCCGTAAATATTTTCCAGTTTTGTGTTTGTTTATTGCAGAAGTCAAATATCAGTTATATCTAATTAGCCAGAAGTGGAAGTACAGTAGTGTGAAGGATTTTTCTTTATGAATTATTTATAATGAGGATGATTTTCATATAACCAACAAGAAACTACCATGAATTCAATAGATTTCAGAAAATAATTATTGAGTATCATTACTATGTTACTATGTATGTTACTGTGCTTTCTGTGATACGAAATGCTAACACCTTTGATGAATAAAATGAATTATCATTTGTTATTAGTTCTAAACAAGACAAAGTCATGGATAATTACTAATATGGGTACGACTTACAGTTCATATTGCTGTTCTTTGTTTCATTTTGTGATATTTACCTATTGTCCTTACTGTTGTAGTATAAATATTTGTGAGTAGTAACTTCACAGAGTAGCTCAAAATTAGCTAGAGACTTAACTGAAACTATTTTTTTATTGGATCCAGAAAATGGCTAAATTTAAGTTATTTATTTTATATGATGATGACTGCAAAACATACGGTGTAGCTTTGTAATTTTGATACTCCACCAAAATCAAGAGAGTATTTTAATTTTCCATTGTTGATGGTGTTGGATGTCAAAAAATGAGTAAATTTTTAAAATACAATTGTTTGTCAATATACTACCCAAAATTTGGCTGTTCAGAAATCAGTTATTCTATCTTCGGGAAAATAACTAAGATCGCTATGCCAAAATTTGGGGAGACCCAAAATTTGTAGTGAAAGCATTATGTTAAGGGATCAGTAGGATTAACAGCACAGTCACTGATTTCAGAGTGTTATTTAACTCAAGGGGGAAAATTTACCTTGTAATAAGTATAGCGGCATCCACTGAAGTCATATCTTCTCCCCAGCTTGTTGACATTTCTAAGTGTATATCATTCTTTTTGCCAAATTCTTCATGTTGCCACTTACAGAAACTTTCTAGCATTTTTTCTCCATGGTGCCCAATATACAGATCTGACTGCAACAGAAGATATTTTACTTCAAGGCAGATTATTCTTCTAAATTCATAAAACTAAAAACTCAACTACTAAGGTAGACTGCTGACCATAACATTAATTAGAATCTGGAAGGCATTTATGATTTAGCCTGACCTAAAAATCTTAAAATTTTGTGAAGGTGCAATATTGCAAAATCTGTTTAATACTACTCTGAGAAAGAATAAAGGTACAATGGAATATTTAAAAGCTGGACTACTTAGATGTAAATAATTTATCATTTCTACAATTTAAGAACAAAGGCTTTCTGAAATGCCTGTAAAGTTGCTTGCCAAAATGATGCCACAGACTATTTTCCACTTCAAAAATAAAAAAAGAACTAAGATGGATTATGTAAAGGTGCAAATTTCCAATGATGAATGTCACTGCATTGTATACCTTAAATGTACCAATAAAATTAATTTTAAAAAATAAATTACAGATAAGAAAACATTTTAAAAGCACGTGGTAAAGTAATAGAATAAATCTGTCATTTAAAATGACTTTTTAAAAATTACATTTTGGAAACTTAAGGTTTGTTGTCAGGAGCCTTGGAAACTAAGAACATTCCATTTTTTGAATAAAATTGAGGTATTACCCAAAACTAAAACTCAGTTTTATATATATACCCTAGGTGACTCAGTGACTATTTCTGGATAAGTCAATAAAACATATGCCTGACTTTCTCTTTGCTTTAAAGTTCTTAAACACAATTTCTCACCCACTTAATTGAATAAAAACTCAAGACATTCTTACTGGAGTTTCATGGAGCAGAATTAGCTTTATCACACGAAGGTTGACCTGCACACCAAGACTCTTGTGCTGGAAAAGGTTAAACACCTAAAAACAAATAAAAAACAAAAATCCTAAAATAAAACTGAAAAACATCTTAATTTTTCTTAGACGCCAAACATAAGAAAGTCTCAATTTAATTGAGAAATTTTATTTTTTTAAAGCTGGAAAGAAAGACGATTTGTACTGTAAATTTTTTGACTAGTAATTATTTAATTTATATTGGAGAATATATAATGGGCACATCTAACCCAGGTTTTGTGAGGCATTATTGTGTTGAAGAGGCTGAAGTTAGTCTGCTAGATGAGGAACACTAATGAAATGGTCAGGATGTAACTAAATATAGACAGAGGGGTTGGAGGTGTGAAAACTCTGTCCCCTGGGAAAACAGCTAAATGTTAATAAAAACAATAAAATGAGATAGATTTATTCCGGATTCAATGGTTCTAACCTTATTTTCCATGAAAATTACAATAATAAGTGGAAACATGACTTTTCTTTCTGTTTATTCTGTCCTACTAACCTTTTTTCACTACAAACTTAATCCTTGAAGAAGGGTTACCCAAAATAATGTGCAGTTAGGTCAGAGGATTAATTTGATAGTAAGCATCCCTAAAATGCTACATGCAAACTAGGTTTCTGCAACTGATTAATTAAGCTACCTATGATTCAGCTAGTTAAAATTTTATCTAGTAGCCATTAAGTTTGTTTAATCAACCAAAAGCACATCTGACATTTAATTTTACATACCCATGTCAGGGCTGAATGGATAACCAATATTTATTTCTATACCATCTCGTAATTAATTTATGGTGTTTGTGGTGCAAAACTTCATATAAACAAATGGAAACTTCTGCTGATACCAACAAAAGCCCTTTTTTAAATAGAAAGAAAATATGGTGCAAAAAGAGAAAAATAACAGCGTTATGACACATCAAAACTAACAATAAGGTTACTTTTTTACTAGAACATATGAATTATTATTTTGATATTTCTCTGGAGATGGATCAGTTTGGCACACATAAAGATGCCAAATCAGTATTTGTACTGATGTTAATAAATAAAAGGAATAGCAATGAATTAATTTTTAAAGAATTTCATTATAAATACTCACACATTTCTTCCTTAGAGTTTTCTTGAAAAAATTCCAAAGGCACTTTAAAGTTTGCCTACCATATTTAAGATGGTTAGAATGAATCTCCTGGCTGCATCTGCTCCATGATAGGAAACCATTGCTGGGTCTGCAACCACTACAGTCTCTATGTGGTATTCTTGAGGTAATTTGTATAAATACCGTTTCCCTCTTCCACTTTCTGTTACTTTTTTAGACCTAATTCTTCCTTTACCTGCAACAGAAAAGTGAATTTCATCTTAGTAAAGGTGATAGCATTAATAACTCACAACAATGAGAAAAACTAAGTAAGTTTCTGCACGAATGGGACTCAAAGGGCACTTGGCTTTGCAGTACAAACTTTACATCAAGTCGATAGGACTTTTGCCACTTATTAGCTCTTCCTTTGAGGAAACTAACATCACCCAGTCAGCCCCAGTTTCTTCAAGTAAAATTAATACTTTCTGCTGTCTGGAGTTGTTGATAGTTTGTAATTACAAGATCACCAAAGTGAAATGTCTAGAATACAGCTCCCGATTAACAAAATAAATCAATCAATAAAAGATATGATTGTTTACTTTCTGGCACAGTTAACAAAATAAAGGTCTACTCACAAGAAGCACCTGCAGTGACTGCCCCACACATTCTGGTGTCAGGCAGATGCCCAAACTCCTGAACCACTATGCCTGGGCTACCAAGGACTTGGGCCCTACCTTCCATTGAGAGAACATGAAAGTTACACCTCAGGATGATAAAGATTCTTCAAACAGTCAAATAAACACAGCTATCATGAACAAAACATCAATGTCATTACACAAAAATTAAACACCTTGGTTTAAAAAGCCATGCCACTGTCAGAAGGAAAAGCGTGCATCCAAATACAAGAATACATTTCCAGTACTTTTCCAGAATAAAAGAATAAACAGCTACTCTAAATCAATGGCATATAACAGCCATTTCTCACAAAAGATATCTAAATGGCTAACTGGTATATGAGAAAGTGCTCAATTACAGTTGTCTTCAAGGAAATTAAAATCACCATAAATTAAATGAATTAAAATGTCTTCAATGACTAAAAAGAAAGAGACTACAAGAAAGCTATAATGATGCTGGGCCAACTAGACATCCCATACACATATATGTTAGGAGTTTAAATTGTCATAAATACATCAAAAACCTAGATGGCAGGTTCTACTAGAGTTGAATATTTGCATGTCCAATGAGTAAAGATTGAAAATACATACCTATCACAAATTCATACTAGTTATGCGTACAAGTTATTACAGCAGCACTAATTTTTTAACCATACTGGAGATTGTACCCAGGACCTGACACTTGCTAGGCAAGTGCTCTACCACTGAGATACATCCTCAACCCTCTTTAAAATCTATGCTTTGGGAGAGGTCTCACTAAGTTGGCCAGGCAAGCCTCAAATTTATGATCCTCCTGCCTCTGCCCTATGAGTAGCTGGAATTACAAACATATGCCACAATATCCAGTCAGAAATCCAGTATTCTAAATGGTTTCAATGGTCCTACCAATTGTGTGAAGGAAAATAAATTTTGGCCTTTATACATAATGAAATGGAATGGAATGATATATAGTATACTACAAAAAGTAACTAATTGCTGCAATGTGAAAAATATGAATGAACCTTACAAATAATACTGAAAAGAAGGCAATTAAGAAAGATACCTTGAAAACTGAAAACACAATGTTACAAATCAGAATAGTGACTTTGTTAAGGCAGTAGAAATTAATGGATAGGACTGGGCACAAGGAAGATATCTGGTGCTTATGCTTTCCTTTGCTTATGCTTTCTTATGCTTTAATTTCTATGGTAGCTCACGAATTTGTTCATTGTGAGATAATTCAGCTGGTAGGCAAATCATTTGTACAACTTCTTATATGCATGTGTTACTTCAAGGATATATTTATAATTTTATGATTCTGGCATCTGTATTGAAATGTCATTCACATAGGATAATATGCAGCCATTTAAGTGCATAACTTAGCTTTAATACATTTCTACAGTTGTTCAATCACCTCCAAAATTCATTGAAAAAACACTGATCACAGGTTCCTCCCCTTGATATTTACACAAAATCTGTCGATGTCTCTACACTGCCATCATCTCCTCTCCCAAACTTCGTGTACTTGTTGACCAACATCTTATAAAATTCTTTGCTGTAATTTCAGTGTCGCCTCTGAGAGTGTGGACAGAGACATTTGTGTCTCCTTGGATGTGTCCAACTTTGTTTTGAATTTCGGGATATGTATTGTCATAGTTATAGTTCATCTTCTTGGTTTCTGATAAGTTTCCCAGAGCCATTGGCTTCAGCTTGTCTCTCGTATCCTATCCATCACCTACACCACTCTTCTTTACCTTCTAATGTGTGTGTGTGTGTGTGTGTGTGTGTGTGTGTAAGTGTGATTATAAGAATAATCATCTCCTAGATTCTTGACCTACTGATTCCCTTCCAAGACTGATTTTATAACCAAGCTGGGTCAACTCTGAGATCTAATATGAACTGGCTTCATCCCCATTGCTTGAAACTTTCCTGTTCTCAGCTAGCCACATAATTATTCCTTGCAGTTTTCCCAGCAATAACACAAATTGAAAAAATCTATTTAGTAAACCAAGCTTTGCCTAAATATCACACAGCAGAGGCCATTGAGTGAACTTTTGATAATAAAAGCAAAGATTCATTTTCATTGAGAATAAGCATCATAACATGTAAAAAAAAGCAGTGGAAATAATAATTATGTAGTCATATGAAACAGAATCACTATAGTTGAAAGTAAACTTTGTAGATCTAGGCATGGTACCAGAAGATAGTACCAAAGATCTTTCAGGAAGAAAAAGAAGTTCATTTTGCTAGAATCTTGAAGTGAATGACATTTAAAATTTAATTTTGTACTTTTTCTAGTTATGTAGTTCTTCTAATTGTGATATCACTTCTACCTGCAGATGTGTATCAGTATCTTAGAATATAAATTTATGGTAAATATTTAAAGGGAATATTCTCATATATACTAAGAAATTCATCTTGGCAGGATAGACATCTGGTAAGTTGATCATAAGGAATATATAAATAAATATACAGATATATATATATATGACACAAATCTAGTCTCATATTGTGTTAGCGTCTTCCCTATTTTTATTGGTACCTTTCCAGATGGATTCATCACTGACCTAGAAATAAAATTAGCAATCCTAACTACTACAAAGAACATGCTTGCTATATACGAGAAATGACAACATCTCACAGCATCTGTCTATCAAACAGATGAGATTAATATGAGTGCAACCAGTGACCAGAAAGTGGCATTCTTTCTATATGGACATTTTCTCTCTTAATTTCTCTTTGTCATTTTTTCATCCTTAGATTTTAGGGAAGCTGCTGTTAACAGAGGTTGTTAATTGCTAGCTTTCTAATCTTAAAAAAGTAAATATATTTCAACTACAAAAAGGAGGCAGCATATATCTACTAAATTGTAATCATCAGAACCTCAAAAGTGGGTGACACGTTACCATCAAGCACTTTCCTACATGCCGACTTTTAGACTGCCAAAATAAACACCTTTATCAGTATGATCAGCTTCAAACTGATTAAGTCTGAGATGCTTGACAGACATTAGAGTAGCAGTTGCTACTTACCTGGAGTCAAGAGAGAGTTTGAAATGAACTTGGATTTCAGAACTAAACAGTGTGAAGGTGACCCATAGATTGGAGTCACATCATCCTGAAGAAATATATGAACGGAAAAATAAAAAGATAAGATGAATGTCCTGAAAAGAGCCTATATACGAAGGCTGTAAATATGGAAGAAGGTATACCCGTAGTGAGGACAAAGATCTAAGAAAAATAAAAGAACCACAATAGAGACCAAGGGGGAGAGTTTATAAAAAGAGGGGTCTTTAAACTGTCTCAAGAATGGTATAACACGTGAGAGAGATTTACAAGTATGCTTCTCTTATTGCTCCAGTTAATATCTGTTGTTTTGTCTCCTATCTGCTGAGTTCCTGTATCCTGATTTACATATAACATCTGAATTGAATATCCAGAAGATACAAGGTTTCTTAAGATCCTCAACTTTTTGGTGAACTCCTTCATATAAATTAGCTCTTCCATGTCAAAGTCATGCATACTGAAATAACTTCTCCATTTTTTAGGAAGACATTACCAATAAACGTCATGGAAAAAAATAAAGGTGCTCCTTAGTTTGAGCACTCTTGCCTGCCCCCCAAAATTGTTTTTTTCATTATATTTTTTATGTTTTCATCTTCTACAATTCTGCTTAGTGCGTTCTTCACACCGAATCTTCAGATTCAGATGAGTGTATAAAAATCATCAGTTACTACTGCATACGTTGAATTAGAGGAGAAATTTTAAAATATGTATTGCCCAGTGATTAATTTGTGTCCTCCGTAATACCCTCCTGACAATAGTCTCCATGGCAGTTACAGATTGAGGGTGCGAACTAATTCAGTAGAGGGACAGTTAAATCAGCTATAAGAATAGCGATGACCTCTCTATGTTGCACAGACCTTGATGTACAGTTTGATCAAATAATTTCTTTTCCATACTGAGTCTTAGACATATTCTTAAGTTTATACTAAAGTGTTAAGCAATACAAATTGATGTCACTTGCGAGGCACACAAGTCTTATCTTTATCCAGTCCCTGGCTACTTTTCCGGGGCTGAATCTTACCAAGTTCAAACACTTGGCTTCAGCTCCCCTGGCTGCTGCTTTCTCATGACCTTAGACTTTTGCACATTTTGTCCCTCTGGCAGACTAGCCTTTGCCTCATTAATATCTTAACAACATATGCTCAAAAATCATATTCATTTTTCACTTTCACATACAGTCACATTTAATTCTAAAGATAGCCTTGAGGTTCACGTATCACTTATCTTCATTTTGTATGTTGTAAATGGATTTTTTGTTCTTTGTAAGAGCAAAAGTAAGTTTCCGAAGCTCACACAGTTAGGAAGTGGTAGCATACAGATGTGAACACAGGCAGTCTGAACCAAGTCCAGTCTTCACCAGTATACTCCGCTCCCTTTTCAACAAAACTTGGTAAGTTTTGTTGAGTCTGTTATTGCACTTATCACTCTACAGTATGATTTCTGATTTAGCAGTTCACTTCTCAAGAAGTCATTTTAGCTATACATCCCTGTGAGGTGATTGGTCATGTTTATGTTGCCAAAAAAGCTAAGGTTTAAAACTATAAGGGAACTACACAAGATTACCCGGCTGGAGTGAGCTTAAAGTGGGGCCTTAAACCTGAGGTCTCTCTGACTTTCAACATCCTCTAAATTATCTCTTTTCCTCTAAATTATCTTTTAGTAAAAGATTATGACATAGCCTAAATTAGGAAGGTCCCTGTTGGGAAAAATTTATATATATATTATTAAAATAAAGAATAGGAATAGCACAAAAACCAAGTTCAAGTCATGTAAGCTTCATAAGTCTGTTTTAGAAAGGGGGTACAGTCAATTATCAACATTTAAGTCATATTATTAACATGTTAATACATAGGCCTAAAGTCAGAAGGGAAAAACAGGAGTTGAACACATCAATTACGAGGTAAGTATCATGCGTCATGATTTGCTAACTTTAAAATAATCGATACATGCTGACCCCATAATCTGAAAATAGTAAGCTCAGTAAATCACTGAAATTGGTGATAGCAGGGGTACTGTTTGCATGCAAATCTCTGATCCAGCAGGCCAACATAAATATGTAATAGTTATGCATGAGTACATCTTTATTTCTGATATATATAATGTTATAAACAATATTTGACAAATATGAGTCATGTAATTGTTTTATTCCCTTCTTAAAACTGAGAATTTTCTACAACAAACACTGCTTTGTGTCATCATGCAGATGAGTAATTAGAACAGCTGGAACTTACTGAGTCAAAGGGTAAAGAAAGACTACAGATTTTCACTATAACTCATGCAAAGCAATCTCCTAAAATGGATGACGCCCAAGTTGTTGCTGTTGTTTTTACAGTTTCACAATACAAAAGCTTTGCTTGCTTGCTTGCTTTTTTGCTTGCTTTCTCTCTCACCTGCTACAACATTTTTTCAACTGTCTCCCTCATTTGCATTCAAATTCTTAAAAGGAGCAGGATGTGTCTTAGTTGAAGTTGTTTGATTGTATACATTGAATAGTATGAATGGAGATAGACCCACTTACTACTTGTGAAATGATTCTTATATTGACTGATTACATGACTTTCCACAAAAGAAAATACAATTCATAGTTATTCTGAGATAACTATATGTGAAACAGAAACATATTACAATATTTTCTGCCACTGACACCCTCATAATCGGTGATATAAACACTCTACAATCTCTGCAAATGACATCGTCACAATTCACACACCTAACCTCTCTGCGAAGCCATAATTAATTTTAGATTAATACCTTGGCACTATATCGATGCCTAACTTCCAATCCAGGCAGAAGTTTAAAGTTATTACACTGAAAATTCTTCATTAAATTCATATTTCTTCATTTTGCAACTGGAAACATTTTCCCATATCAGAGAATGCTCACCAAGATGTATAGATTAGATACCAAAATAATTTCCTAGGGAAACTTACAATTTGTTTCACAATCATTTGTTCTAACTTGAAGGTTCTACTTATGTTTTTAAAAAATCATTTTATTTAGCATTCTTACAAATGCCACTTATTTCTGAATGAAGGCTATAAGAAAGCACAAAAAAAGTCATCTTTATTTATTTTTTCTGAAGAACTATAAGACAAAAAAGAGAAGAGGATTTGCTGGTTAAGAATGAGTCTCTGAGTGAAATAAATAAGTCACACATGTATAAATACCGAATAGTTTCTGTGGTGTGAAAAACTATAATAGTACCTAAGATCCTAATGGTATAACTGACAATGTGACATAGGAAGAAAAGGGCTAAAGGCGTAGGGGAAGTGGGAAGGGTAGGGGAAAGGTAATAAGGGAGAGGAAAAAAATATGAGAAAATGAAAAAATGGAAATAAAATATTTGTAAATGGGGAGGGCAGGGGGGGTGAAGGGAGGGCAGGGACAAGGGGAAAAAATGAGAACCAAGACCTGTCATGTAGAGGTACAAGATCCCAATAATGAATGTAACTGTACTGTATACCTAAAATGTACCAATAAACTCAATTTAAAAAAAAAGGAATGAGTCTCCAAAAACTTCTAGATTTATGGGATTCATGTGCTGAAAATAAAATTTAAAAAGGAATAAGTTGTTATTTTTCTTCCTATTCTGCTGCTAATTTTAAATTCCAATATGATTTTAGAATTTTTTTTTTTTAAAGAGGATGGTCCTAGTCAAAGTAAAGAGATACCTATGATGTTCTCTTTGAGGAGGACTAAAATAAGGCTATGAACTCATAGTATTCAATTTCAGAAGATCTGGAATTCTCCTGGTGTCATTTCTATTCCAGTGAAGTGAAAAGTATCCCATAAGGGACACTTCACAATTCAAGATAGCTTTGGGGCATGCTGTATGGTACTCTCTGAAGTCCTTTTGAGTTTCCCTGTTATGATATTAAATCTAATGCATCATAGAAAACTAAAATATAATTCTAAAATGGAGATTTAGGGCCAGGGATTTAGCTCAGTGGCACAGCACCCTTCTGGCAAGCATGAGGTCCTGAGTTCGAGCCCAAGTACTGATTAATTAACACATTAAATTTAAAAAATAAAATGGACATTTATAATTGCTACTACTAAATGAGATTGCACATTACAAATAAATAAAGCTAGTTGACCTAAGAGGGGGCAGGAAGTCAGAGAGAAAGAAACAAAGGGATTAAGAGAGTCAAGGGCAAGGGAGCAGTTTGTAAAGGATTCATTTCACACTGCACGCTTCACTGAGTGCTTTCAGAAGCATTACCTGAAATGACACCACAATAATGGTTGTGATGAGCTGACTCCGCTGTGACTTTTTCCTGCACAGATCTTTTCCGCCTGTACACACGGTGTGGGTGCCCTGTTATGGCCACCGTCTCCTTGAGTGGCTCAATAAATATGAAGTCCTCATTCAGCTGTACAAAGCCCATCTGGAACGTATAACACGAAAGACATGTAAGAAATACCACTGATGATGCTACTTTTAAGATCTTCGAATCTCACATCCTACTTAGCAAATGTGCTCACGCACTTCTGGTGAAACTATTTTTGCAGTGACACTAGTAAGGTAACTGTCTTTTCCTGTTCCGACTTCCATCTTTATGTGCTTTATTGCACTAACACAAACTTCACTTAGTCCTAGCCTGTGTGGGTGGGAGGCTAGGCGCCAGCAACAGATGCGCAGTAAAAATTCTGCAATGTTAAAGGCTCACTTTGGGAGACCCATGGGGTCACTTACATGTACAGCATGAACGTAAAGAGCAATGCAGTTTTTAATTGCATATATCACACAATCCAATTTTTTGACAACCACTATTAAGTGAAGTAATTAATATAACAGCAAGGCAAATGCAGGAGACATAGCATTGAAATTTATACATAAAATATTCTTAGGAACTTCTAAATATTTTAAAACCTTTGCATGATAAATTATTAAAAATGGAGCATCACGTCCATAAACAAGACTTATATCATAATGCTTCTGTCATCCAATTGTGAAGAGAGTTAATTCTGTAAAATATGGTAATGATTACTAAAAGAACTTACAGCGAGTTGGCATTCTTGTAATATATTGAGGCTAAACCTCATAATTTGTTTCTTCCCTTTTTTAGAAATATAAATGCATATAACTAGGAAAATGTTCCCTGTGAAAGATCATAATATGAATTGATCTTTTAAATTTAGCACTATATAATATATATAGAGAATATATTTGAACATTATCTCTTTAGAAAACATTTGTTAAGAAATAACTCTACTAGTTAATAATAATTAATAGCTAATAATAATTCCTAACAGCACAGAGCCCACTACATGCAAAAGAGTCAAACATATTTGTTGAGTAAATGAATGATGACAAATTTGTCCTCTTTTTCACTTTCCATGCTACTCCCTTAAAATTGAAATTTGTTTTCATTTTAGAGTATATTACATCTTTTATAAAGGCCAAGTGGCAGTCAATATGAACCTAATTTTATTCTACATTGAATTCACATTAGAAGGTACCTTAACAGGAAATTTAAAACTCCTAATTAGTTTTATGTACTTGACTATTTATATCTCCAATAAAATTCTCAATAACTAGAATAAGCAACAATCAAAATTTCAAGAACTAAAATAAGCACTGTACCACTTTTATTCATCCCTTTGTTCCTCCCTTCCTTCCTGTGTTTTTCTCACACACACACACACACACACACACACTTACTAGAGGGTAGGAGTGAATGTAAAAGAGGTTTACTATAATGATCCTTTCAAAAACATTAGGCATATTTGTGTTTGAGCCAAATATTTTTTCTGTAATTTTAATATGACTTAAAATGACTCCTTTTATTTTCCATTCATATTTTACTTTTCTCAAATCTGAAACTGTCCTATATTCTAATTACACAAAATCTAGGAATGTTTCCCTTAGTCTTAACTTTATAAGAAATGAGAATATTAAACAAAAAAGTATATTAAGTAATAACCATTAAAGATGTAGTTCATGTACATGAATTGAGAATAAGCAATTTCCCACCGCATGTCACTGATCTAGAGAGTCAAAATATACAAACGTACCATTCTTATGCTATATGCTAGTAAAATCTTAAGATTTACTCAGTAGTCAAGACATATTAATAAGACTGTGGCCAATGTTTAAATTATGAAGCTCAATTAGAACATATCAGCAATCATGTGGAGTTTACCAGTCATATATATTTGTGATCTGAAACATTCTTTCAATAAGTTATAAACATAGATTTATAACAAGAAACCTTATAAAATTTAATTGCACTATATCATATAAAATTTAATGACCCCAAGAATAGATTCTGATCTTAGACTATTTGGGTTCATAACTTATTGCTAGCTATGTAACTATGAGAAATTTACAGCAACTTCACACAACACCTTTGTTGGGTTTTTAAAGGGTATTTTTCAAAACACATGTAATACCATTATCATGAGGCCTGATATGAAACATTCATCATTATTTTATTCTAATAATAAAAATAACCATACTAACTATAAGTACCTAAAGTTGAATATAAATTAAATCCCTATTAGTTCATTAAGTATTGCATGAAATAAATGCTTTGCTGTAGCATTTTATTGAGTTAGAAACTTTGTAATATGACATCTCTATTGTATTAGAATTTTATCTACAGACATTTTTAAAACAAGGTCAAGGTCATACTTTTTTTTTGTTTGTTTTTTTGGTACTGGGGATCGAATTCGGGTCCTTGCGCTTGAGAGTCAACAGCGGAACCACTGAGCCAAATCCCCGGCAGAAGGTCATACTTTAAAAGATTAATTATAAATGGTGACTCATTCAAGACAGATCTACTATCTGGCCACCATGTGTCGCACTCTTTCTTTCTTCCCGAGGCACATTTAGCACTAAGTGTCAAAACGTAGACTTTATAGATCCAAAACACCACGCTATGACACAAAAAGTGGTCCTGCTTTGATTTGTATCATTTAAGATGCTAAGTTGAATTAAAGCAGAACTGCAGAAAATCTTGAAGTTTTTAAAGTTTCCACAAAGGGATCCTTCTTTCTTTTAACAAAATGGATTGTTTTATGTACACTATGATTTCATACGCCATGGAACATGAATCCATATGAACCTCTCTCCACAAATGTCCCTGTGACCAGCAACCCACAATTAGGTAGAATTTGCTTTAGTGCAAACATTGGCTTTTCAATTTTAGAAGAAAGAAAAGATCATATGAATTAATATAGCACAATCCATTACTTGTAATTAATGAAAACTAAGGGTTTTTCACCCAGACTGCGCTTTTTTTAAATTTTCAGAATAAGTTTAAGTATTTTGTAACATTTTGTGAGGATATCTGTGGTTATTTCCTTCATTATTTCTGTTATCATGTGCATTTTCTCACATGGTTATTATACCTGTTGCTTTACCATTGGTTGTTTCATAATTTAGTAAGCATTCCGGTATTTTGCAATGTGTCATTACTTATGTGAAAATAATTAATTAACCAGTGATTTCTTTCTTGCCAAGTTTGATATTTTATTTCTATTTACATGCCTCGGCGCTTTTTTAAACAACCATTAACAATAACATCCTTTTCAGTGTATCAACGGTGACACTAACCTCAGCATAAAATTTTGATGAGGTAATGATGCTTCACCGTTTTTGCTTCAAACCCTTATCACATGCACATATCTCATTTATTCAAACCCAGATTAATTTGAGATTATTAAAGAGATAATCAGATGCCACAGCTTGAAGTCAAGCCTCACTGAAAGGCGAGACTGGAAAGCGATACAGCGCTCCTTCCTCCTGTTTCCGCCCCACTGCAATGACGTCACTTCCACGGCCCCACGGCTAGCTCACTCATATAACAAAAGTACTGCTCGGATTACCTCAAATTTCCTCCTCATTTTTCACGCCCCCTTATTCTACTTTTCTTTATTTCCCAGAACTTTCATTATCTGGGTAAAATTTCAGTGAACTGGCTCAAAGTATTTATTTGTGAAACAACAGAACAAATACATATTGCCCACTCGTGAGACAGTGAATATTGTGGGGCCGGGGGTTTAGCTCAGAGGAGCTGCCGCCTGCCTTGCAAGCCCAAGGTCCCAAATTCGATCCCTGGTACAAAAAATAAAATTCTGAACTCTGTATTATGAGTCTGTGATAATAACCTAATTTGTATAATACATGATCCAGCAGTTCCACTTCTGAGAATATGTGCGTGGGAAATGAATCAGTACATCAAAGAGATACCTGCACTGCACATTTGCTGCAGTGAAGATACGGAATCATCCTAATTGCCCATCAGTATATGAATGAATGAATGAAATTTGATATGTACACACAATGAAATATTTGACCTAGAGAAGGAAATCCCATCATTTGTGACAATTTGGATGAAACTGAAAAGTATTAACTAAGTCAGACCCAGAAGACAAATACTGCATGATGTTACATATTTAATCTATAAAACTTGAGCTCTTAGAAGCAAAAAGTAGAACAGTGTTGGCCGGGGAGAGTGGAAGGCCAGGGAAGATGTTAGACAAAGAATACAAAAATCTCATTGGGACAGACAGGAAGAATTAACTCAAGACGTCCATTAGATGAAATGCCACTATAATCAACAACAAAGTGATTTGTTTACTTGAAAATTGCAGTGGGTAGATTTTTAATGTTCTCATAAAAATTAATAGATATGTCCACTGGCTTGATTTAGTCTTTCCGTAATGTTTGGCTGTACAGTAGGCTCTGCACACTAGACCTGTATGACATTTTAATTTTAAAATATGGTATATTATAGAAATAGAACACAGAAACAAAATGTCATCAACTTAAAGGATATAAGGATGGTAATAGACTATAATGATTCCCGGAAATGAGAAGGATTTTGAGGGAAAATAGGATTTAGGTAAGATGGCAGCTAAAATGTTCTTCCGGACGTAGGGCCTCATGAGCTAGGAGAAGGAGGACATGAGGGTTAGGTAACAATCCAAAAGGATGCCTGGTTTGAGTAAAGAAAGGGAAAATACTACACAAAAATATTGATATAATTGGAAAAAATCCAGTGACAACATTCTTGATGGGAGAAGTCAGTCTTGAGTCTGTCAGGATAATCAGTTTATTGCCCTTACAAGGTGTATCAGAGAATTAGTCAAACACTAGAATGAACACAGGCAATTGTTTGTGCTAACAAAAGTCGCTGAAAGGATCCGACATTAGATATCTGATGCCCTACGTGATCTAAATTCTCGTTTAAGTCTGTCTTTTCCTTTAAAAGTATTTTCTTGTAAGTTTATGTTATGGTGTATATCTCATTAAGTAAATAAAACATTTTAGTTTGAAATGTAAGCATAACATAGAGATTGGTATAATTAAAATGTCATACTTGGTCTCTGATTTAATAAATAAAATGTCATTTCAATATTACTATAACTAAAAGTAATT